AATCCTGGACACCGCTGGGACGGTAGGATAACTAACTGGCACGTCGCGGGGGAGGGGTGCAAGTTGCGGCTATGCTGCTTGCATGTGAAATGACGTGTGCATTCACACCAGGATCTCATCGATTTAACGATCTAGTGGACCTGAAATGTTTTGTCAGTATATATTCTTTTTCGCGTGCATCGCCGCAGCGTGGATCTCCTGACCTGCATTCATTTCTCATGGACTCATTATCCATAAATTTTCAGCAGGGCTGAATGTATTCAGGAACAATTCACAGCAATGCGCGATCTCTACATGAAGAATGGGCAAGGATTCGTGTTGGTATACTCGATTACGGCTCAGTCGACTTTCAACGATCTCATTGACCTTCGGGATCAAATCCTCCGGGTGAAGGATAGCGATGAGGTGGTAGTAAGAACTACAGTCTTAGCGTATGATGTGCGTGTCATGGGGCTAGATTTGGCGCGACGCTATTTCGTTTTCCATCAATTGTCGAAGCGAGTAACCGGCAATAATTGATGGAAACAGGGTACAGCATTGTGATGTGTGAGGTGGTGGTGTAAGTACGAATCCCCCCTTCCCCAACACCTACCTATCAACTTTCTCATTTTTCAGTCATTTCACCCAAAATTTTCCACTTTTCCGTCGAGCGGATGGGGGAAGGGGAGGGGTATACAGTGCACATGAAACAGTGAAACAGGAAAAAACACGCAAAAAGTCAACAACCGGAAAGGCAACGCGACAAATCCTCAAAGGCACACCCCCTCTCTCCCAACAGTCAAATACGACCCCTTATGTGTTCACACAACGATGCTGTACCCTGGATGGAAAACAGGCTGGCGCTACGACAAACCTAGCCACTCTGGCACGCCCCAACGTCCACAGCAAACAGGAGTATAATCCCTCAGTCACTCATCCATGGCTTAGGTACCTAATGATTTGGTTGGGACCAAGTGCGATCCTCCGAAAGATGACACGTGTAGTGGCCAATAGATCAGGGACAGCAATCTGCACGACAGCTCGGTTCGCGCCTATCTTGAAAACCTCGGCCAATGCGAAATCAATGTGCAGACGCAGGTAGTTTTTACCTTTCTTTTGCAGAAGAAGAATCAGCAACCCAAGGCATCGCACGTAAAGGAACAGATAGCGTTGAGACAATGAGAAAGCAAGGAGTAAACAGACAGGGGGAGAAAAGGTTTTACCTCAGCGTGTGCCATTACCGCCCAGTTGGTTTCGCCTTCAGGGTTTTGTTTGCTTCTGTACAGTGGCTTTCAGAGAGGAACGTGCTTCCCATGAAATAGACAAACATGAAAAGCTGAAATTGACTTCCTAAGACGCGCCGTGCATTTTACCTCCTTTTAGACTCCTAGAAGTAATTGTATGCGTTTTCCTCCCAAACAATAAGTTGTGCAGGGAACTCAACTGGATTAATGTCACTATTCTCTTCTCGTCCCATGGGACAACTTTCCTGACTTTGGAAGATTTTCAGTTACATCTCGAAGGGTCAATGGCTGAATTAACAACGAGGGATCCTGTCTACGGACCGTTTCAGTTGTTGCAACCTTGCCGTTGGGGGAAAATTTTGCAAGAGCTACCCTTTCTCTAGACGAACTACGCCCTGCATCGCTGGGGATCCCCAACAAATGACCTGCCCTGGTTGCATGCCTGTCACGTGCACAACATTCAGCTCAATCCCACTCCAAGTAGTAAATATGCAAAACTATCCATACTGCAAACTTCTTACTTTAGGCCTTACACCAGTAGCAACCGCGGCCGCGTACCACGCGTGCGGTAGACCCGCTCCTATATGTAAGGCCACGATCCTTCCAGTTATCCGGGGTAGGTACCAGATGATTCACAATCGCTGTCGGCGCTGTTCGGCTCGGGTGGGGCATTTAACATATTCGCTATTTCCTTTTGCCAGTTCACGATGAATAATAACAGGACCAGTTTGGTGGGACTTTCTGTGCAACATTAAAATTGCTTTGCAATGTACCATTTGGTGCCCCAACCAAGCCAGACTGCGCCCCCCCCCCGTCTTCTACATCCCCAGGTTCTCGCAGCTAATTATATGGGCCACATCACATTCGAGATGTCACCACGATTACGAATGGAAGTGAAATGCGTGGCGCATTGCAAGGGTGAATTAACGAGTGGTTTGGGAGGTCTAATGTGGGCCACACCATGGGCACTGCTTCATAGAGAACGCTTCTCGTCATGCAATCAATTGCTTGCGTCTGTTACGGAAAAAGTGACCCTTTCTTGTTCCAGGTATTTTACGACCTAATTCGGCAGATTAATCGCCGCTATCCCGAC